CGAAAAATCATCAAAAATTGTGAAAAATCGGTTGAAAACACGTTTTTTCCGACTTTTGTTATACTTATAACTTCTCACTGGAAAGTCGTGGAGAGCCGTGCGACCACTCATTTTGCTCAGAAGTTTTAGCTCTATCAGATGGCTGCATTCGAAATAATGTCTGACAAATCTTGTTAAAAGTCAAAAATGGGGTCTTATGCATTTTCAAAACATTAGATGGTGAAGTCATCTTTGAGAGTTTTCAATATACTGCAATCGATAGAGAACTTCGAGAGCTATCGAAATCACTGTTTACATTTGATCTAGCTATTCGTTTTCATAGAGAAAAATCAATGACAAATGGGGGTCTATCATTTTGACAAGCCCTGTATAAATAATTTGACAAAGAGAAATAGATGCTTGGAATAAGAAAAAAGTTTTCCTAATTGCCCGCTAGAATTGTGTTTTCCACGAACTATCGTACATTAATTTCTTATAGAAACCAGTGATGTCATTGGTACTGTTACATCGGAGACGTCGGAAAACAACGATAAGAAACCTTCTGACGAAATCGATCAAAACCAATCATAAAACAATTTTCTGATGGCGTTTCGCTAAACTAAATTTTCTCCTAAAGTTTATGTGTTGTCATAATGTTTCGTTTTTTCATTGTTTGTTTATCCTCGTGTTCATCCTCAATGAAATATATTGTACGTTTATTGTGATATACATCTTATATATTGATTTTGTTATTCCATTCTCATCTGTGTGATTTCGCATTATGACTATGTCATAATCATAACTCTTGAGGGTGTGGGGTGTGGGTGTGGGTGGGTGTGGGTGTTGGGTGTGAGGGTGTGGGTGTGAGTGTTTGAGTGTGGAATGTGAGTGGATGTGGATGTGGGGGAAGGCAGAGCCATTACACTTATCAACACCAACACCCACACCCGCCCACACTTCACACCCCATACCCACACCCACACCCCACACGCACCCACCCAGACCCAGACCCACACCCCACCCACCCACACCCACACCCACATCCCACACACCCACACCCACCCACACCCACACCCTCATATTGACATTTTAGTTACATTCTATGAGTTTGGACACGTTTATTTTATTACTGATTTAATATGTTGACACTCAGTAAATATTGTCTTTGACAGTAGATCGAAAAATCTAAAAAAACGTTCTTGCCATTTCCTCTATTATTTATATAAAATACATTCCAGATACCATGAGTGAAGCTAAAAGACATGAAATCTACTGTTCGAAAAAAACATCATTCTTTTTATTATCCATGTAATATAAGAGGATTTATAAAGAAAAATAAAACATGTCTTATCAACGTGAAGACAGTAGTATAAAAGTCATTTGTCGCAAACATGTGCACAGAAGCTACTAGATCAATATCAGTTTGGTAGAATTTGGACTTTTTCAGATATGAAAAAATATTCTAAAACTGTTTATTTCCATACTATATTTTTATTAATGATTTCTTTGCTTTAGAAAAGAGAAATTTTACATTAATGGCACGAGCAGTGAAAGATGTTGCTTCGAATTTGCACAGTATTAAATCGAACTTGGTATCATCAGACGTTAGTTCCACACCCAGCTGTTACATGCGATTAGTGAGTTCAGTTGAAAATCATACACATTTAGAAAAATTCGGATCAATGGTTAATCATGTGGTAACAGCCGAAAATACCATAGAAGCTGCTGCTAGTATTTCAACAATGGAAAACGAAAGTATTGAGAATATATTGGAGCATATGACTTTGCATTGCACTTTCGACGAGGAAAACACTAATGTAAAAAGCAAACATACGAACTATGAGAGTTATTTTAATTCAACTTTCTATGATCTTATGAAAGACAAAGCATCATATGAAAAACTAGAAGAAATTTGTCGTAAATACGAAACAGAAAAAAGTGCCAATGTTGATCTGGCAATGGCAGAACACAATCAACGTGTTGCTAAAACAGTCTCATATTTCAAAGATAAAGGTTTAACGCAAAATGAAGCTAAAGCAGCATCATTAACTGTTTCGTTCTATACTGGTACGAAAAGTGGAGTACCGAAGTCAGATGAAAAAAATAAAGAAAATAAAAAACATATTGAATATCGTAGTCGGCGAGTGATCGTCGATAAAAAAAGTGGAGAACAAGTACTTGACAAGTTTATCATATGCAATTATTTATTACGAGCAATGTCAAAAATTTCGTACTATCAAGGCTATGTTTCGCGATCTTGTCGACTCACGGATGAGGAATTACTGCTTTATATTCCAGGCTCGGTAATTATATGGTCTCAATTCAATGGTACATTTAAAGGCAAAACAATGCATGACAGTTTCGATTTTCCTTATCGAAACACATTCTTCAAGATCTATTCATTAACTGGTCGTTCAATTAAAACATTTTCAAATTATGAAGATGAAGATGAGGTTGTATTTTTACCTGATTCGACATTTCTCATCTTAAAACATGTAGTTTCTCATCATGAACAACAACATGTAATTTACATGCGTCAAGTCGAATTAGGTTTATCGATATCGTCTGTATTATGGGTAGACGATGAAATTTTTAAAGATGATTGGATTAATAAAAATTATATGATTGATGCGGAGGCTAAAGATCCAAAGAAGAATGTACGTTTTATTCAAAAATCATCCACTGATATTGCACTATCATTTCTTCGATCACCTTTTGGACAACGTCTTAAAAATAGAGAAACATTTCGTATTGTTAGTGATATGCATCGAACTAATGAGGAACCAGCTAACAATGCAGGTGCACGTTTGATAAAAGAAATAAGAAAACTTGGGTTCAATAATCGATGTTTATTATTCGTTGGAAATAGACAAAAGACGGAAGAAATCATCAATAGAGAATTAAATGCTAATGAACGGCAATTTACAAAAATAACTACTTCCGATGATAGCTTAAAAAGTTTCATCAACTTTGAAAGTACATTTTAAATTCATCACCGACGCTAAATATGTTCTGAAAAATTTTCAAAGTTAACTTAGTTTTTTATACAATACATACGTGTATTTCACAACTATTCCTATATTGTCTTTATCATTATATTTTCAAAACTAATAGAAACAGTATTGCCGAAACCAATATCAAGATTGATATGAAACATAGAGACAGAATGGAGTAGAGTTTCGTTGATTTAGGTTCGTTTCGAATTATCCTAAATCTATTTAACTATAACGACTCGACTGTACAATAAAATTCAATACTTGACCGGCTTCGATATCATATTAGAGTTGATATTGACGTAAATTAATGCTATTTAGTAGACTTTTCGATTCAAATAAACTTAAGCAATGGACAAAGCTCGAAGCAACACAAATTATAGAAAAATATTATGCTACAAAGAAGTGACTCATCGTTACATAAGGACAGTGAATGTAGATTCATTTGCTAGCTGCATCACATTTTTATAAAATCAGTTCTAACCCATGTAACCATTTTTAGGTTTTGGGACGCGTTTCTGAGCGTTGATTGCAATAGAACTTAACGCGTTTGTACGCGTCCAAAATGCAACATTTCGGGGGGGTTCAAACGAGTTGGGACTCAAGAAACGCACCCAAACTCGTTTGACATATAAGAGCATCATAACGCGTTTATGTATAAGGATGCCTTTGTAGTCGTCCAAAATGCAACAGGGGTGTGGGTGTGGGTGTGGGTGGGTGGGTGGGGGTGGGGGTGGGGTGTGGGTGTGGGAGTGGGTGGG